TTAATAGTTACGTTGTAATTTTGAATAGTTTTTGTGTATCTTTGATAAGCATTTTCCCTGAGGCACTAGAGCTGTGTAAAAAGAAATTGGAACCAAAATATTTGTTAATTCTGTATAAAAGAATAGTTTGCAGCTGTGTGCTAGTAGTTTGATTTGCCAACATTAGCTCTGTGGTGTCATGCTTTAAAGTTAGCTACTTCTCACAACATCCACAATAACCTCCATTTTGAAGGTTGTCCAGGCTATTATCTCTGCTTTCTAATTTGTAGAGAAATAAGATTTGTTCTTTCATTACTGGGTATTATGTAACCTATTTTTGCAGAAGGTACTGTTACATTGAGTGCATTTATGTGTATTCTTGCAAATGTATTCTTTTGAAATAAACCTTCATATTCTGTATAGCTTCTAGTAAGTCTTTAAAGCAGTCTTTGGGGAAGAAAGGCAGAATTAAAGGTGTTGGTATAGCAAATCAAAGCATGGGTGCCATTAGGTTCTAACTAAAACTTCCTTGTTTCCTTCACTGTTACTGAATTGAAGACTTAGAAGCACGTTTTGCTCACAGAAGAAAGATTAGAACCAAAAAATAGCAGAACACTCAAGCAAGGCCCAAAGAAATAATTTGAGCTTGCTCTTTGTGTTTGGCAAAGCTCTGTGGCAGTTTCAAACAGCTGGGGTTTTATACCACACTACCACAAACTCTCCTTACAGGGCTTGGGGATTCCTGCAGCTGCTCACTGATGTGGCCTTGAGCAGAAGGCTGCATCTTGTTTAAGCCTTTTGGTTTGGGTCAGCATGGTAGGGTCTGTGTTAAACCTTGCTAGAAACACCAAGAGCCAGGCCAGGGCTCACTTATCACCCAGCCAGGGTAAAGGTGTAGTTACAACTCTGCTGTTCAGCAAGGAAGAAAAGTGAATGAATCCCACATGGAAAAGCTGGGTGGTGGATGGTTACCTAAATGAACAGGGCACTCCTAGCAGAACAGAAGAGCATAAGAAAGTCCTTGAATAAGAGCTGGACATGTCGACTGATCAAGATTGCCTGTGAAAGAAGGGTTTAAGTTGCATTTTTTAAAGGCATGAGGCAGTAAGATGCTGATTGCTGCTTGCTGTGTGAAAGAACTGCTAAGCACCTGCAGTGTTCCAGGGGAATTAAGAGCAGAGCAGAAAATGAGTTAAACTAAACTGGTTTTGAATAAGTAGCCTTTCAGGAAAGATGGAGGAGAGAGAAACCTGCTGTGTAACAGCATTGTCTCTAATGAATCCTATATGGATATTCACATCTGACAAATATTCAGGTTTAAACAAAATAAATGCAGTCTCAGCAAGTATGTCACTTACCTTGGTATATTTAATACATCTTACTCAATTCTTAAAAATCTAAGAAGTTCAATTTACTGTTTTGCTGCAGGAGTTTGCACAAGAAAGTACAAGTTCCCAGTGCATTTTCAAAAGTACTTGTGCATTTGGCTGCAGTCTGTGCTTTATCAGGTGTGACAACACACACAAAACAAATTTCTCTTCCAAGATGAATTTATAGTGGCTAATGGATCGAATGGGCCATTTGGAAGTTTATAACCTTAAAAGCCAAAGCCATAGAAAGGTACAAAAATGAAACTTGAGATGTGCTTGGTTCCCTGTAAAAGTCTAGATGGGCATTCCAACAATTAAAGCTTAATTAAATTAAAAATGTGATTGTGCAGGTGTAGCCATTTCACTTACAATACTAATACAAACTCAGACAATGGAGGAAAAAAAACTAATTGAAAACAAATTGCTGAAACCTTTGAATTTATCAAAAGTTTAAGAGCACCAGAAGTCTATCCTTTTCTTTTCCAGAGTGAGTTTTTGTTGGGTTATTCGCTGTTGGGTTTTTTTAAGTATATCATCCAACCTTTATTATTAGGAAAGAAGTTAAATATCTAAATGAAATATTTATTTAAGTTTGATCACTTAAATTTATTTACATACAATGAGTTTCAGAAGACTATTAACCAAAATAAATCTCAGTTGGGTAAAGACCTTGAACTAGAGAGGCTGATAACGGGAGACACTATTTAAAAGGTAACAGAATTTAACAGCTTTGTGGTACACAAACAAAAAGGGGTATTAAGATACAGAACTGGATTTCTCTGAAAACTATTTGTGTTCAAAATTATTTTAACAATTTACAAGGAAATGTTATTTCCTTATAGTCTTTAAAAACACAATACAATATAAACAATTAAGGCTTTTAAAATGCAAAACATTCAGTAGTTGAATTTGTAGATGCCATTACAGTGTTGGATAATGGTGTAACACGATGAAAAGTTATTTCATTCACATACATTGGTACAAATGATACTGCATGACTAGATTTAATTGTCATGCACCTCTAAAATACAAGTTAAAAAAATTTAACTTCTCCCTTCTCTTGGTAAATCCAGAGTCACTTGCATCAGCTTTATTTTGTATTTTCTTTTAAGACCAGATTTAGAGATCAGGTAAGCACGGGGTAACTAACAGACTAAACTGCTGATTTAACACAGGAATTGCACAATTCTGGTGGCATCTTGAAGACATGACTAATCTGGAAGTATTTTGGAACTTTCCTAAAATGTGTCAGGGTTTTGTGTGTGGGGCTTTCTTAAAAAAAACATTTAATTGTAAAAAGACCCAGTCAAGGCAGTTAAGACAACAAATATTTGACTTAACACTGGAGAACTTGGGGAGACTTCTGTAGGATTCATTTTTGTATGTTCCCTCAGTCATTTCTTCATTAAGCTTAAATGTAAAAGGTGATTATCACAAGTTGTAAAAATAAGGGCTATGCAGCTGGTGACCAGATAAAATGATAACTGAAAATTATTTAAAAAAAAAAAACTTTAATAAGAACTTGGTTTACTGAAAGCTGTAATATAAACAAACTCTGTCATATAACATTAAAACTCTATCAGGTTACTGTGGGGAAACTGCTGACAGTATTTCTCACTCTCTTATGAAGAAAATGCTGTAAGGAATTAACATAATACTGAGCAAGATGTAACAGATTTAGAATACATTTCTGTGGCACAGGACAAGTACTTGATACTTCTGTAGTTCTAAGGACTGCTCTCAAAGTTGTGAGGCTCAGCCTGTAAACAGTGACTACACACTGCAGAAACACAGGGGAAAAAGCATTCACAGGTGCTATAACCTGTCCAGTACAATTGGATAGCAAACTGCATTACTTGGGGTTGTTTTGGCAAGTCCAAAGTGTATCCAAACCAGAACCCTGCTTATTTCAGTGGTGCCTGGACTGTAACTCCCTGACCAGTCACACTTCTCAGCATGTTACAGCACTAGTGATTTCAAGAGTTATCAAATTACAGGTGAAGAAATCCTTGCTACCATCGGTTTGTCTCTTGAAATCATTGTACCTATGGTCACTTTTTTAAGGGGTTCTCAAAAGTTATTTTTGCTTGCCAATCCCTAAGAGAAAACACGTAAGAAATCCAGAAATACAAGCATACCTGCTGTAACCTGAGCATATGGAATGCAAACATGCAATTATTGCAAGTATTGATGATAAGAAATGCAAAATTTGGATTATAAATCGTTTGAAGTCCACAAGCAGGTTCCTTGGTTGAATGTATCTTATCTGCAGTATCTTGAAGACACCACCTACTACTATGCTTTTCCAAGCAAAAGAAGGATTTTACTTTCACAGCAATACTTTCTCTCTGTAGTTAACAGAATCTACCCATGCAATTGGTCAAATCTCCATACTGTTACCTCACAGAGAACCTGGTTTCAAACTTTATGTCGAGGGCTTCACTACAACAACTGTAAACAAAACAGTAACTAAGATAAACCAGTTTCTGGCTCTGGTTAATCTGCAATAACAAAAGACATAAAATTAACTGATACCAAAATAGTAGAGAGAGAATTGTCTGTTTTTGTAGATACTTTGGAGTTCCCCAAAACAAGAGATGAGCAAACCTAAGAGTGTTCCCATTACTCAACTGATTTAAGTTTTTTGAGTGATTTAAGACACATTGGTGTTTCTTCTAATTGCAATTTTGACCTTTTCCCTGGCATGTGCCAGTATGCAGGAACAAAAGCCATCGTAAGGTTTCTGACAAAAATACAAGTTATCCCACCTTTTTTGGAAACATTCAGAAAAAATCTAAAAACATTAAACTTAGGTGAAATTTTCAAAACTGCTTAGCATAAACTTAACTTTTCAAAGTTACAGCTGAAGTTTTTAACTCAAAAAGCTTATCCAAATTTTCCTAAGGGCTTCAACAAGGAAAGAGAAGATGAACTTCAAGACTGACCAAGTATCCCATTATTTCATCCAGCTCTGTGCTGGAGAACCTCAGCTTGTCTCAGCTACAGGCTTTGGCTCATAGACACTATGAGATCACTGCCCATATGTTTCACAATCGGTATCACAGTGCATGGGATCTAAACTGAAATTGGGTCAGCACTAAAGGAAGTTCAAGAGAGTAATTAAATAATAAAACTTAGCTGAGTTTGTGTCCCTGTCCACCCCCAAGGTCTCTGTATATTTGGCTGAGTGTTTGACTCTATCAAACCACCCCCATTTCCTTCAACGTGGGGAGGGCAGCACAGGCAGTGCCTCAGCTGTGTCTACACTGATCAGCAGCTGCCTTTGATTCCAGCAGTGTTACACTATTTGTAAGCACTGTTTTAGTCTGAGCTAGCAAACTTTTCAGTTACTTGGAGTGCTAAAATATCATCTGAATCATGCCCTAGGATTTCCCAAATAAAATGCTGCACATTTTTCTGTGCTGTAGAGGCAAACATAGTATCTTGACTTTCTAATGATGATTTTAACAGAGTATTTAAAGGTTTTAACCTTGAAAAACAAGGAATTGCCCATTTCAGCACATAAAGCTTCTCCATGAGTACAGGTAATCCTACAAACCAGAAAAGGAAGGAGGAAGGCAGATTTCAGCAAGTTCTCTAGCGAGAACTCTCCAGCAAAGAGAACTCAGAGTGACAGGAGCTGACCAAAACTGAACAGTAGGCAACTGACATTTAATAAAAATATTTGGAGCTATCAGAGGATCAGCACAGCTAGTCCTGACTTGAAAGCACAGTGAGAATGAAGAGCAATGTGTCCAGGGACGGACACTGCCAACCTGCCAGGAAATGAACCTGCTGGGCATTACCTAGGTGAGAAAATGCAGCAACTGCACACTGTGCCACAGCTATTTGTGTCCAAAATAACAGCAAAATTAAGGACAAAGCCTTAAAAGACTCTCGAGGGGTAACACAGAGACTTTTTATGTTCCAGCCTCTCTTTCCTCCTTAGCATTCCCCTGTGGCACTTCTTGCCCATCAAAGCAGATCACAGCCAGGCTTAAATCCACTGCTTTTCTATTGGCCAGGCTGTGAAGAAGAGGGAGCTGTACAGGAACACTGTGAACATCAGACACACTCTGTGTAAATGATGTGGTTTGAGAAGGTGTCACTCACCTCTTCCCATTTTCCCACTCAACACTAACAGTCTCTGGCTAGTATGCTTAATAAAAAAGGATGTGCACTCATCAAGATGAAATGCCATTTTCAGGCTTTGCACATGACATTTGCTATCCCTGGACTGAACGAACATTTTTTAGAGTTGGGTTCTTCTTGCTACCAAGGTGTTCTTCATTATAATACAGATGGAAAAGATGGGGGCATTCTATTGCACCCAAACTACAGCTTGTTATTTTTGCTTTTCTGTAATATGCTTTCTAATGAGGACTCTGCATCAATTAACGTGCATTTCCTGAGTCACCTGTTCAATGCTGCAACCTTTAAAAATCTACTTTTATACAAAATAAGCTCTTAATTCAGCAAGTATGTTGTATTGAAGGACGTAGTTTGTATAGATTCTCTAATAAATATCCTAATGCAAAGAGCTAGTCCAAGCAATGAGCTGACTTTGTTACAGAACCAATGGAGCAGGAATGAAGAATGGTTCAGTTAAAAATATATCAGCTTTACCTTTCACTAGAGTATTTCCTGCTGAATGCACAAGAAATTCCATTTCAAGAACTCAAAACTGCCTTTTATTACATACTGGAAAATTTCTCAAGAGCTTGTGTACACAAGTTTGAAGAAACATGACAATAATGTGAAACACCAAGTGAGTAAGAGCCTGCCCAGCAATCTGAGGTTCCCAGCAGAGCCTGTGCTTCCCTTGGAGCTCGTGCTCCTGTGAGCCACAAGAGCAGCTCTGCAGAGACACTCTGAACACAGCATTTCTTACCTGAACAACATGGACAGCTAACAAAATGTAGTTTTTGTATTGTGTTTAAGTGAATTTTCAGGAATGCTAATTTCATTCTCTGGTGGATTTGAGCATTTACAAAGTGCCTTATAGAAAAGCATTTATCTCTACGGCAGTGCTCAGTTTTTTGCTAATCTTAAGAATACTTGTATGTAGCTTTTTAATGTCACAACTATAATGCAACAAGAAAAAAACCTATCATTCTGTTTTCTGTGCTAGCATTTATCTAGTGGAAAACAAATTCTACTCTACTTTTCTGGACACTTTCATATATATATTATGTAGGTATTTGGAGCATGTGCATGCTAAGTTATATAAATAGATTTAAATATAAATCTATACTCTTTTGTGAGAACATGAGCTGGAGGAAAAAAAAAGAAAAAAAGGCAAATGAAGTAAACAGAAGTAGATATTGTCCTCCTGGTACTCCAAGACTATATTGTGCAATATTGTTTTCCAAGCTCACTTCATATAGATAAAAGCAATTCTGTTCATGTTTTTTGATCCTCAGATACTGTCAGAGATACCAACTGTGACAGGTGCTTTTGGAATGCTTACTCCCAGTAGGGCATAAATTAAGCTTCCACATGAATTTCATTTTGGGTATTAGGAAGCTCAACTGCTTATAACTTTTACCACTAACAAGCTCAACTCAAGCAGCCCTAAACTTCAGGAATTCTTTACCTTTTTTTCCAAAGCTTCAAGACCTGTAAAGGAAAAAGGATATTAAGAGAGGACTGTTTTCATAGCATGCCTTCCATTTCAAATACCCTGAAACCCTTTACTCCTCTATTGAAAGAAACTGAATTATCTGGGAGTTGCAACTTCATGATGAGCATTGCATTTAACTCTTCGTCCTCTGTGACCAAATGACCATAATTCCTCTAACTACAGTATATTGTTTCAGGCACATCTGTCTGAAACTGGAAATGTAACGTGAATTCTTCTAATATGAGCAAGTATCTTAGGCAAAGAGATAAACTCCATAGCCACAACAGCTAGATTCCTTCCAAAAGGAGCTGAAGTGGCAATACTGTCACTGAAAATAAAAACAAACACTTAGCTTGACATATTTATTTTTCAAGGTCAATAAATAAATGTAAATACACAAATTTGGAAAAATCTTAGTAACAGAATGTTTTTAAACAACATTCTGGTTTAAAGTCTCTGTTATTGACACTATTGGAAATAGTTTCTCATCTACTTAAAGTAGCTAAGTCATTATGTTGGTGATCCTCCATCACATTAATTTGTTTGAAGAAGTTAGGCTGCTGCAAAGGAAAAAGAGACATCAACCTTTGCTTTGACGTAGAAAATTATCTGAACTGCATACATTAAGTATTAAAATTACTTCTCTGGGCATGACTTTTCTAGAGAAGATATTTCTAAATTTACAGTTTACATATTAGAGACCTCCTACTCTTCATTACTTCATCATTATAAAAGGGAAATCGTAACAAATGTGGAAGAAAAAACAAAAGAGGAAAAGGCATGGAAGAAAAGTGATACAAATTGGCCCTTTAGCTGGTAAAAATACAATCTTCCTTTATCTCATTTTCATTCTATGTTGGTAACAGATGTGTGTGATGACTGGTTGCCATCAGTGCAGCAAGTCTGCTTGAAATAATTGTCAAGTGGCTTTTTACCAGTGGAGTTGTGTTAAACACCCACTTTTACAGACATTCTCCAAACACCTGGAAGCAGGAATGTCATATTCCACCTTAGCTCGCAGGTTATTCTGTGTGAACACTAAGGCTTAGAGTATGGATACAGAACTTGTCCAGGAGAAGCAGCCTTTTGCAAAAGTACCTACAAATTGCTAAATAGAAATTTTATCAAAAGGTTCAGCAAGAAGGTATTGTTATTGATTTAATGGAAGTGGAGGAAGATTTGTGGTTCCCTCAAAATTCATCAAGTGTTCTATTTCTGCATTCTATAAATACTACAAGATGCAACATGTTTATTTGGTTCCCATAAATTAGAAAAATCTGGTTTCCAAAAATTCTAAATTAGTGATTTAAAAAAACAAAATATTACACTTGGCCACCTTTCAAACTATCTCAGAGAGCAGCTTCACTTCTCTCTCACCCCTTCAGAAGTGTGCTTTTTTAAGAATACATGATTTATAAAACAAACAAAGAAGTGTGTTTTTAACTACAGTACACTTGCTTAAATATACAAGTGGACATGTTAACGTCATGTTGAAGTTCAAGGTACTTCTGGATAAAAGGCAGATAGTTAGTTATTTTAACTCTGCATTTTTATATAGAATAACGATTATTATAGACTTTAGTTTCCTCTCATCATTCATCTATCATATGGAGAGGTCAATAAATAAAAGCTTATCTGGTCCAGTTTACCTACAAGAGAAAAAAAATAATAAAAAGAAAAAGAAGTTACCTATAAAATTACTTCTTTAACCCTGATAACATCTGAGTTGCCATACCCAGTCTGTAGTTGCAAGAAAAGCAAACAATATTCATCTTGCTTTTTTAATAAATGCCCCATGTTTTTCATGACAATTTCTGTATGCTGCCTAATAACTCACATATTGTTGGGGCAAGAAAGCTGGCCAGGAGATGCAGTGATAGCAGTAACAAGTATAAATCTGGGTTCTAAAAAAGAACATACCAGATCCAGAAGCAATGAATTCTGGACACACTAAGGAGGCAGTGCCCAGCTGTTACTTGGGCTCTTGTGTCGTGGAGACTACACCCAGCCTAAGATATAGTTTCATACTAAGGAAGTAACACAGAACTCTGTTGTGCTCGTGTACAGACTTCAGGAAAAAGCCTTACACAAAATGAATTACCTTTGTTTAGAGTAGAAGATAAAATAGCTTACTAACTGATGTAATGAGTAATGGATGTCACTGTGACACAGGACTTGCCATGAGTTGTGTGTTCAGCTACAAGGTGCAGTATTTCTTATGACTAACTCAAAGCACAGCCGCATCCAACTGTGATTTGGAATTCCCTCTTGAGCAGCACGCACTATGACTTTGAAGGAAGTCTGATTGTTACAAAGTCATCCATCCTCTCTTGGAACATGAACAAAATCCATGGGGTAATCAGGCACAGGCGGCATGTAACAGGTTTGTCTTCCTTTTTACTCCTTGTTTTTGCTTCTGAGGACGTGCACTTGGCTCCAGATGGGATCCCTGTTCTGTTACAAGAGAACACAGCTGTTCTTCTCTTTCTCCCTCTCCTTCTCTCGAGGCTCTTTGCGTTTGCGTTCGTTACTCCCGGATTGTCTTGCACTGGCTGGAGAGGCAGCACCTTGTACCTGCTGTGTAGGGAAAACAACCTGGGAAATAAACCCAACACCATTGCAGATACAGTCTCAACTATTACTGTGTGGTCAAGTCCACAAACAAAAAAATTTAAGTATTATGCAAACCAGCAGAATTCAGGTAGGAGTTTTTGGTCTATCTACTCCAGGACCTCCACAAAATTGCATATTTCTTGAAAATTAAGTCAGCTGAAAATATATTTCAAGTTTCATGTGTCCCTTCTGTTGTGTCCACATATTCAGATCAGTAGTTTCAATAAAATATGTTTTCAAGCATTTTCTGGCACTTCTGTGTTATTATACTGCAATTTTTTCTTAGTTTCTCTTATAAGCACATAATCCACATTTCACTATTTGCAGAGTCAAAGTGCTGGTGTGGACAGCAAGATAATGGTAAGGCAGCAGCTTTTTGTGACTAGTAACTTTTAACTCTTGGCAAGAGGGTTGGTATGCAAAGGTAACGTAAGTTTTGTTAATTCATCATCTATTCCCTCCATTCATAGCTGCAAATGAGTAGCTTAATCCTGTTCAGCAGGTTCTTCAGTTCTTTCTACCTTTGGCAGCCAGCAGTAATAAATCTGTGTCTTGGGTACTGCTGGTTCTATTAAAGCAACATACAGTGCAAATAACACAACTTTTACCTGTCAGAGTTCTTGTTTCATGCTTAAACTTACCAGTTAATGGTTCTGAATTACTTCAGGCCAAAGATGCAGGCTTTATATAGATTATTTCTTACATATTTGTAAATAAAAGCAGTTCTGAAATTTCTCAGTGATTTAAGAACTCTCTAAATCCAAAATACCGACTTAATTATTGTCTCTGGCACAGAAGATTCAGTTAAATTGCATTTTTGGATAGATGTGCATGAATCACATTTTCAGAAGATTTTTAAATCAGCTGCTTATGGGTATGGGATGTAAAGGTGTACTGGGAGAAACTGTGAATTGCCTAATTTGGAACAACAGAATAGATTCACATGAGATTGCAGTCTGAATCACCTGAAAATGTACAGCAACTAACTTCTGCAAGACAAAATAAAGACAAAGCTTCAACTGTTATCAAAATGTTTAGTTGAATGTTCTTCTGCAAGTAATGTAAAATACTTGCTGACAACATCTTTGTAACCTGACATATTAATTCATACCATCATTCCAGATTAAGTATAAATGAAACCCTAATTTAGAAGGTTAAGCCTGCTTTAAAGTATTTAAATGTTTGCAGTTGTCATGTCTACATGCATACTCCAACAATTGTAGCATATTCCTGAAGATTCCTATATTCACCTCAGGCTTAAATATGTACAAGCACAGATGTTTCTATGCAATTATTAGTATTTTCTAAAATTGATGATCATATTTTGTAGTACTGTTTTCTTACCTGGACCTGAGCAGCTGCTTGTTCTTGTTCCTGATAGAACTGAGAAGCTCTCCTGTCCTCCTCTTCCTGGAGTTTCTTTGCTAGCTCTAGATCACTGATTCCTTCTGGGATCTGCTCCCAGTTAATCTCTTGATTCTGCTGCTCTTGTTGTAGAGACAATGCCATCAGATAATCCTAAACAGTAAACTCGGTAATTAACGCTCTTTCACGGAGAAAAGAGTCAAGTCATATCAAGTGAATTTTTCAGCATGTGCAGCTACACAATACCATCATTTTTCTCCCAGCCTTATCTTCAAATAGAGATTAGGAATTTGTTTCAGAACCTGTCCATAACCTCAAGTGCAGAAAAGCTGAGAATAGCTACTTTACATGTCTGCTTTCACAATGCCCAAGCTGCAGCACAGAAAACACAAAAACTAATTTAAAAATTTTGTTTTCAGGTTTAAATTTATGACCTAGCAGCAAATTATCTGATTTTTATTCTGAGAGGGAGATGCAGTCCTTCCATTTATTAAGAAGCATCTTACTCATTTTCCCCCACTATAAACTTTTGATCACTATAAACTTTTTCAGAATGTAAGATTTCCAAGGAACTTCGTCTTGCTTTGCACTTGTGCATTAACTGGTATAACTCAGCCTCACCTCAAATATGACTTCTGCAAACTCTGTGTCAGTAAGAATAACAAACACCCACCATGACATGCCATCTGCTGTGGGGTTTGTCCTACATTCAGCCAAGTGGGCAGCAGAAGGCAAAGCTCAGCTATGACAATCTTAATGAGCTGAAGGGAGTTTGTAACGTAGGGAAAATCCACAGTCTGCTTCTGTTTCCATATACAAAGCAGAGGTGACATTTCACCTGAGTGAGGACTTTGCAGAAGTGGATTCTAAGAGATTAATCCCATTTTCCAAACCACTCAGTTGGTCTTACTTTTCCTCCCTCAAAACCCTATTAATGCTTTCAAGTGGCACTTTTGGGAATCCCAACCTAAGTCCCTAAAGGAGTTTTATAGTCTCACATGTGCATGAGAACACACACATACACATCTGTGGAATTACACAGAAATATGACTAAAAATCAGTACTAATTTACAACTGAAAGGTAGAAATCCAGTACCTGATCTATTTGATCCTGCTGCCCTCTGTAGACAGTTTCAGGGTCTGATGGAGGCCGCAGGTGGAATTCAGAGTCACAGAAATTCCCATCACCATCCACATTGTGTAAGCTTTCCCACACGACCTTCTCTTCTGTAAGAAAGCCCTGGTCTGTCACCAGCAGGTAAAGCTGACCCTATACAAAAAACAAGGAAAACTTGTAAAACTAAAAAAAAAAAACCAACCCAACTTTGTACAATTTAAGCAGAAATGATAAAAATGTTGCATTCCAATAAAACATCAATTTAGAGGTTTTAGCATGTTTAATAATTAAAAAAATCAGCATACAGCATTAAACCACCAGATACTAGTATTCACTGATAAATTAACAGCCACACAATTTCTGTATTCCATCTTACAACTCTTCATTCTTAGTGGAAGTTCATATTGACTAGAAATTAATATAAAACATTAATAGATAAAAATGAATATATTAATATATATCAAGCTATATACCTTGACAGCTCTTTAGAAACACCCCTAAGAAGCAGACTTAAAAACTGGCAACAAAAACTTCAAATCTAGGAGTAATCACATTAAATTCCAAAGGCAAGATATGGAGATAAAGGTGATCTTTCCAAACAATCCAAGAGGCACTACCTCGAAATGACCACATCTCAGACTTCATGTTTCATAACGAGTTTTGTTAGAATTTGAGGTCTGTGCCAATTGAAAGCTCTAAATTTAAGATTCTTGCTATCACTTGTCACCAGTAACTGCTTTTGTTGGCATTTTAGTAATTTTACAGTTCTATAAGGCCAAATTTCTTGATTTCAAAGTCTGAAATTATAAAATGGGCTGGTCTGGAGTGAAGGAGACAATGCTAATAAGTGCAGATACCAAGGCACTGGAAGGATGAAATGTAAGCTTAGGCTGAAGGAGTGGGAGAGGAGCTGAAATCGAAGGGAAATAACTGAAGTAGGTCCCAAGTAAAAGGAGGTGCTGCTGCATGCCTGAGGGACAGCAAAGCAGCACAAAATACCTGTTTAAATTTCCATTTAAATAAAAGGTTTCATCCTACCTTTTTTATCATGTTTTTAGGACTGTACTCCAAATCAAGAATGTTGTTACTGAGCATACAGCATATTAAGATTGAAGCTCCCATTAGTATTACTGAATGTACCAGATCAAGACACTCAATACAAAATTTGTAAGGTGGTTTAGCTGTAAAAATCAAGGCAGTTAATTGTGACATCCACAAAAATTTGGTATTTGTACTCTAGCAGCACACAAAGGGTTCTCCAAGATCACTGTGCTGAAGTTGTACCAGGCAAGAGGCAGATCCTGTTCTAATAATTTTTGAGGCTAAACAGGCAAGAAATGGAAACTGTCCATACTCAACACATACACAACAAGCTCCCTGACTTCTCTGAAGTCATTAAATAACTCTGAGGGAGGTGTTGAAATTCCAATCACATCTCGTCAATCCCACTGTTTACAGCCACCCCTCCTGAGGCTGGGAGGTCACTGGATGTAACAAAAATATTATTTGAAGACTCACATGCAGCAATTATTCCAATATTACCTAATACCATAACATGCACTTATGCACAAGTCCAAACAGAGTGGATAAAAACCCAAACCAAACAGGTAACACTACTGTATGTTCAAGCTCTGGAATAGGAGTTAACCAGCACAAGGGGCTTTACAGACATAAATACAAGTGTCAGCAACAAGTCTGATCACATAACATGATCTAAGAAATCATCTGTCCCTTGGAAACTTGCCTAAGAACTGAAGGATACTCCTGACACTTACTATTACCTGAAGAAAATAAAAGGAAGTAATTTAGCAGTATATCCAGTTTGCACAGAATACCTGTTTCACAATATTTTGTATATAAGAAGTCTTCAAAAAGATGTAAAAAAATCCCCGAATTTAAAAGATAAAATGTATTTGAACTTTTAGGTTTTATTTTGAAGAGTACATTGACTCAAACCAAACCGAAAAAAGGGGGTGGTATGTGTGTGTCTCAGATTTTCCTCTATTATGCCATACATTTTAATTATATCCCATAAACTGTGTAGCTTAGCAATACTGAAATTGTGAAAATACTAGTTTTCCTCTCTCCAAACTTTTATAAGCTTAATTTTTGCACACACAAATATTAAGATATATCATTGCCATCATGGAATTAGAATCTAGTATCTGAAGATGGAATAAAGCTAACACTTGTTTGAAATAGAGACCCGTTTTGAATCTTAAATACAATTCATATTCTTCCTTTGTAAGAATTTCTCAAACACTGATTGTAAAAATGTCACGTTAGAGTAAATAATAAAAAATGTAACACAGCTCTCTACTGAAAGGCAATAAACTGCATTATATATCAAATTGTACACTGACACTGCAATTCCAATACCAGCTGCATACCTTAAAACATTCTGCTTCACTTGAACAAAGCTTAGCAAACCAACAAACACAGGCTCCCTAGTACCTGATAAGAGACAGAGTTCCTGTTCATATTATTGGAATGAAAGAAAAATGGGAAATCACAGATCAGAGATCCAAAGTCATCTTTCCCTTAGTTTTAACCAACTTCTCTGATCTCTTTATCATAGTAGTATAATTAAATTGAATTCAACAAAAAACACCAACCAGGACCCTCACAATATTGCTAATATTCAATGAGCCTTTGGCAATATTTCATATATAAAGTAAGAGCAGTTGGCTCTTTTGCTATGAGCTGTAATGTAGCCTCTCATCATGGGTTTGTTCCTTCTACTCACAACAAGAAAATAGAGGCCCTATCTACAGACTGCCTTTGTAGGAACAGTTTTAATGCCAGGCACGTTCTCTTCCCACTGCTAAAGGCACAGCCACACTGAGACTCCAGCGAGGAGAGCCCGTGATCCGAGAAAAGCTTTTACCTTTTATCCTCTGACCTCCGCCGGGCCTCGGAGCCGGAGCGGCACCGAGCAGGCCGGGCCCGGGCCCCGAAACAGCGGCCATGGGCAGGCACGTCCACAGAGCGGGACCCGGGCCGGGCTGGCTGCGAGGGACGGGGACACACAGAGCCACGGGGGACGGGGACAC